TGGGGAAAGGTCGGTGTTATTTATTATAGATACAGGCAAATATTCATCAATGTTTTGCGTTCGTATTTTATTCATTACAGATACTGACATTGTAATTTTAAAACATAAAACAAAAGTTGTGAATGTATATTTACGCAAAAATGTAATTTTGATTAAACTATAAAAAATGTATTCTATGTAATTATATTTGACAGGTAAATTTGATATATCTCTCTTTTTCTGTTATATTTAATATTTACATAATTTTTTATTACAATCTAAATTAGACAAGTCTCTCGTAGTTTTTATTTCTTAAAGTGGAAAATGAGTTATAAGGCGGCGAAATGTTTAACAAGGAGCAGCAAAGTTTCTGATTTCTCAACAGAGGGAGAAAATTACTAAAATTCACGTCTCCCTACGTTACGACCGAATAACGCCAGAACTCGTAAAATGGCAAGATAACGTAAGCGGCAATAGGCACGTGGCCCGAAATTCCCCGGAATACAGTTTGCAAATGTCCTACCAAAATAACCTCTGGCTTATAGCCTCGAAAGAGAATTCCCCATGCTACATCGAATGGCCGCGAACCGTGAAGAAAACAACGTCTACATAGTCGGACGGTTCGACTATATACTGTACTAGTTCGAGTGTGATATATACGCACAACATATATTCCATAGATTTAATTCTCGATTTCTAACTTTGATGGAATGTGTGTATATTGACAAACTCTCGAGAATTCTTATATAAAGACATCGGCTTGCAATAACATTAAATGACGAGAACGAGAAGGGGTAAAGTAAAAAAAAGAAATTATTCGAATATATTAACTCAATATATTGCATTTGCCTCCTTAAAAAAAAAAAAAAATAAATAAATTATGGTATTTCTCACGCTGTTATATTGCAGTTAGCATGACTGAGATTACTTCGACATGTATATGCGACGTGTATCTCATATGTGCGTCGTCGCGCGCGATATTACAAATTCAAATGCAACACTCATATTGTCGGAGTTATGTTTCCCAGCGGTGACTTGTCACAGACTCGACATTTCAGAACGCGGAATCGTAAACCCCTTGTACCGATATGTAAATATTGCTGACGGAGATCTCGCGGAAATCTCACCGGAGTACACGGAATAGTGGACCGTATCATCTGGCGATTGAAATGCAGATCTCGATGTAGATTAATGACGTCCCCAAGTAGATGCGTGTTCATCGATCCGCCAGGCATGCTTGCTTATTCTGGCTAGAAATGATGTAACGGTTGTGATCCACAGATCTCCCACGAGATGATATACGTGAGCCTCACGTTGCATAGACGTAATTTACGTTTCAAAACGTAAAGTATTTTATAAACAATTTATATATATATATATATATATATATTTTATTTCCATTACAAGATTTTTGTTCTACTAATTTTTAACAATGGATTAAGGCCAATACCATATACAAATATAGAGTCAAGGAAAATACACTTTCAGAGAAAATGGAAGGCATCTTAAATTTCACAAACAGGGTTTGTCGTGTTTCTAAGGTAACTCGATAAAGATTCTCCACACAAACAACACAAACTTGGTTCCATTTATCATACTTCGTACGAATAATGATCAACTTATGTAAAATTGGCAAATTGATTTTTCAGTAAAATTTATTTACGACTATGCTGCTTTGTATAAACAATTGTTGAATCGCGTAATATAACGAAATAAATTTTACTGGCGATCTATAAGAAAGTGACAATAGCTGAGTTATTAAATTTTAATAGGAGAACACTAAATTGAATGGAAATAATTAATTGAATGGTAACAATTGTCTCTGTATTATAGCGATCATCAACGATATATAAATAACAATACATGTGAAATACTTTATTTATAGAAAAAGGTTTTAATGTTCTCTTTCATTGTATAGTAAAAAGAGGACTTATTAAATATATCATTACCAATTTAAAACGATTTGATACATCCAGCTTTGTAAGTTCGCAATTCTACTTAATGGATCTCTGCGAAACGCAAGTTAAGCGTACACTCTGCTTTGCGCAGCTGTTTTTGTCAGAGGGATATGCAGGTGTAAAAGCGAGTGGTATCTAATTAGCGGTCAGCTCTGCCAGTCGACCTTAATTCACCAGTTGAGACTCGCTTTTCGCTCGTCCGTTCTCTCGGTCGCGCGTATCTATAACGTCATTTCAGTCTGTAGCAAGTAGTATCGTGCTTTAAACGGGCGCGTTATGTACTTTGCATGACCGTTCATGCATTGCAAAATAGAAATAAAAAAAGTTGCTACCCTCGACAAAATACGCCACAGTGAATTACATGAAAAAATTTAGCATCTTAGAAAAAGATAGTTACAATAATATCGAATTATTTTATATTTAAATAAGTTTGCATCGCGTGTTAAAATCATTAAATTTCAGTGCTCGAAGAACAAAGGAATATGATACAATAGATAAAATGTACAAAATTGCTTTTCTTGAGAAAGCGATTCAATGATAATACGACGACGACAATTGTAGATCGATATCTTCTTATACAGGGAATGTTTTTTAAACCTTGCTCGATTATTCTTTCGATTCTCGGCAGACAGACTGTTAAGATCCGCGCAAGTGATACGGGTCATCCGAGAAATGGCTTTGGCAGTGTCATAATCCCTCTATCGGGAATAATAGAACTTTATTTCTTTTCTTCTCTTTTCTATTGCTCAAAGAGTTATTTTCCTCTAGGGATGAACGATTTCCGGCAACGGCCGTTACGTGACAATATAAACTTTAAGATACGCAAATCATATTATTTTCTATCTCAGAGCGCTTTCCCGTGCAATGATAAGCATGCAACGCTAATATCCGGGGATTGATTGTGCATAAATCTCTCTATTTCTAATAAATTTTTGTTATTGCAAATACGTAACATAATAAATATTTTGTACGTCCAAAAAAAGATACTTTTAATTCATAAATTGTTGATAATTGTGAGATATTTTTCCGTTATTGAAACGTAATTAAATAACACTTTATTTTTGACGGTTTTAATATTTGATGGATGAAATATCTAGTAGCATATATTCGTAAGATGCAAAAGAATTAAATTCCAGATTCGGAAGTTATACTTGGTGCATCGCGTACACAAAAATGTAATTACGTTATAAATAGTTGAAAGCATGCCAAGCAGCTCTACCATGAAAATGTTGCTTTACTTTTAAACGTTGCTTCATTTTAATCTGATATACTTGTTTGTGTACAAACGGAAAATTATAGCAGCATCCTAATCAGTCGTCATCAAATTATCTTTTTGCACAGATTATCAGAGGCGTCGAGTTAAACACGATGAAATGTTTGTTGAAACTGCCGGCGCTTTTAGTTTCGAGAGTTATCAGATTGAGTGACGAACTTTGTCATATTATTATGCGCAACATGCGCTTCTGCCATCGTAGTAAAAGCGTTAGGGAAAAGCAAGATAGCCTGAGCACGCCGCTATTGAACGCGCGTCTGTATAATGTGATTCTGTTTTCTCAAAGTTATTTTACACTTCACCGGCGCTAATCGTGGTATCAGTTACGAGTTTCGTAAAAGAGTAACATCCCTTTCTACGGAAAGTATGCCTCTAGCCTCATGTGCTTTACAGAAGAATAGTTTTAGGAGTTTTCTTTCGGAATGTTACGAAACCGATACTCTTCTCGCAATGCTAACCGAGATTCAACTCTTCAACTTTATAATACAACTGTTCGGAAGCTATGAGATCTCCGGTACCGAGTTTGATGAAAACTGTTGAATCGGGATAAGCTTTGTTTTCAATTGCCGACACAATCAATTTTATAAACGGTCCTGCGTAAAAGTTATGAATTTTTACGAGCGATTGATCCGCTCGTAAAAATTGGTCATGACCCCTTCCCCCCGTAGACACAGATATGGCCGTTTAAGAAATTTATGATCGATGCCGGTACGAACGTTTGGAAGAAAACGAAGCAGGAGAGCGAAGAAAACGAAGGGGGATGGAGGGCACGCCGGGGATGAGCGCGAGATACTTCTCCGGAAATTACGCTCTCTCCGCGGAGGCAGCACTTCCGGTCCGGCTATATATAAGTCATTTCAGCAAGAAGAATAACCGCAAACGGACGTAGCCCGTAAACTCTTCGTGCCCGAAATGTTTTGTCTGTAGTGTAAAAACACGTCTTAGATAAAAACATGTCGTTACGCTACACGGCCAATCCAAATACGTTTAAAGCTTCGTCAAATGACTTCTGTCTGTATTTTGTCGAATCGTCCATATAATGCAAATTGCGTGCGTATATATTAAGTAAAATATTTTGCAGTGAGGAAAAGCGCAAAACAAGAGTATTTTTATTCCCTTAGTATTACTTTTTTATATACAATAACAAACGATATTGTTATGCTCTTAAAAATATGCAATATGTATATTGTATATCGTATAATTCAATGCAAATTTTTATTTGTTTATGCACAAGATTATAAAACATTGATATTTATTAGTTTTAAGCGTATGATATAAATTGAATATTGTTTTTCAATGTTGAACAAATTAAACATATTTAATGAACCGAGAAATGGTATACACAAGAGCAATACAGCGTTTTGGTTATAGAAAGTATACCCTACCAATTAATATTAATAATACTGTCATGAGATAATCGGCGATTGTTTGTCAGAACAGTATTATTTGTTTCATGCTGCGCATGGCTTGCAGGATTTTGATATAACGGAATAACGTTACGTAACCATTCGTTTGACGTACATCCGGTATCGAACGGAGCTTTCAGTTAGTAACATTTCCGCGATTAAATACTGACGGTATATACATTTCCCTCGCAAACTCTGTAGAGATTCAGAATTATTATTTATGACTACTATCTGATGTATTTGAACATACAAAAGCCAAATAATGTATATTTAGTTATAATAAACCTCTCTTGTCAACATTGTTATATATAAAACATTGTACAAATTATAACTATGGTTGTACAATTTTCACATTTTTAACACGTTTTATATTTTAATGCGCAGCTCGTGGGCGGTGAATTCGACATGGAGTTGAATTTCGTGATACAGGACGCGCAGAACATCAGGCACATGCTGGAGCTTCTCGATCATTGCCCACCCAATCTCCAGGTAAGTGAACATCATGACGTTAAACTAGGTCGAATTAATTACGTGCAGAAAATATCTGACGTAAACCCAAGAGGAATGCGGTGAAGAGTACGTGCTAGTGGGCGATATCATAAATCAATAATTGAAATTGAAAACCTATTGTATATATATACAACGCGATTTTTATAGAGCACTTCTCAAGAGTGTAAAGTACACGAAGATAGGAAAGTGATTGCTAAGATCCTTCTCGGATATCACCGAGTAGAGTTGAATTACATTATTGCGTCGGAGTTGCGTTGAAATCTCAAACTACTTATTTTTTTTTTTTTTTATTTATATTGACACTTTTTGCAATATAGAAAAAGACTTCAATTTTTACAACAATTTATGAAATTTCTTAAACTTTCCATTCGATTCATCTAATCTTTTTATCAGTCGACATATTTTATAAGTAATCCCGGATCATCGTATGTATCGTGTAATTAATACGTGTGTAATTAAATTTTATTTTATAAATGACTGAAATTTAATGCTTTTGACGAGAATTGTTCAATTTGTAAATGTTTAACCACATATACGTAATTATTCAAACATCTACGTTCAGCGCAATCAATGTCTTGTCTGGCACTATCGCGGAACTTACTACTTCGGCTATTTCCTTATGTTGCGGCGGAGCAATTCTACTGCTGAATGCAAATTATCGTCAGTGAGAAGAACGAAGCGATCAATACCACGCGTCTCTCATGTACGCAGTAAACGCGTCAAATAAAACCGCGGTAATTAAAGTTACGCGAAAAAGCAGACGACTTTTTTACGTTGAAATTGCAGCGCTGGTATGATAACACACATACCGATTTATATTGACACTTTTTGCAATATAGAAAAAGACTTCAATTTTTACAACAATTTATGAAATTTCTTAAACTTTCCATTCGATTCATCTAATCTTTTTATCAGTCGACATATTTTATAAGTAATCGCGGATCATCGTATGTATCGTGTAATTAATACGTGTGTAATTAAATTTTATTTTATAAATGACTGAAATTTAATGCTTTTGACGAGAATTGTTCAATTTGTAAATGTTTAACCACATATACGTAATTATTCAAACATCTACGTTCAGCGCAATCAATGTCTTGTCTGGCACTATCGCGGAACTTACTACTTCGGCTATTTCCTTATGTTGCGGCGGAGCAATTCTACTGCTGAATGCAAATTATCGTCAGTGAGAAGAACGAAGCGATCAATACCACGCGTCTCTCATGTACGCAGTAAACGCGTCAAATAAAACCGCGGTAATTAAAGTTACGCGAAAAAGCAGACGACTTTTTTACGTTGAAATTGCAGCGCTGGTATGATAACACACATACCGGGAAGGAAAATCGTGAAGTATAAGGACGCACATACGAATTTCTGATTTTCTCTCTTCGCCTCTCTCTCTTTCTCTCGTTCGCTATTTGACGGGAAAAAAAGAGCACACCGTGTGTTAGGATACGCACAATCTCGGCATACAAAGGATCGGAATCCATTATGCGGCAAATTTTTCTCGGGTACAAAAATTTTTTTTTTTTTTTGCTCACGGAGCATGAGATTTATTACCGCTTTGAAGCATCGTCCATACCCTCTGTTTTTTGTGTTCGTGAAGTATCCAGAGAGGGACATCGGCTCACTGACGAAAAAATATGATCTTGCGATATTGCACTACCCATAGAAAAATAGTCTGGTTTAATCTGATCGATATTGATTGATGTAGACATACATCGACTACCGACACATGTAATAACTGACCATAAAAGTGATTTGTCAAGATATTACTGGCAGAAATAAATCGCCCAATCCATTTCAGCAACTTTGTCACGCGAGTTCTCTATACAAGATGCGTTTTCTTTCATACGCTCATAAGGTTGTACATTTCTGTTAATAGATAATATATTAGTTTGGTTGCTTCGTATTGAAAATTGATCTACTGATAATTTTTAATTCGTCCCGTGTTTGTGTTTAATTTGATTTTTAACAGAAAGTAAATATTATTAACGAGGTTATATTTAATTAAAAACAAACACGCAACCGTAGAAATTGTAGAAAATATCTTTAATTGATTTTTTTCTCACTATTTTGCGTTTGACACAAACATGATTGTGTGTTTGTATATGACTTTCTCTTATTCCATTATATTTGGAACAAACAACGTGTGGCCTCAGGCCATGCAAAGATTAAAGCAAAAGACTTTTCGCAAAAAGCACCACCTGCTGTGTATCTTCGAAATTCGTATACGTCCCGCTTCGTTAAAAGCGACGTACGACTTGGCGAAGAAAGGAAAGTAAGGACGGCAAACTTTTGTAAATAATAACGGGTCCTTAGCTGCCATGTCGGGTAGAGGAAAATCCGTTTACGCTTTCGTCGCTCTTTACAAACTCATACACGACACTTGAGCCTCCGCTGCAAACTTTTGGCGTGAAAGTAAATAGAGATTTAAACTAGATGGATGAATAGATAAACTTATGAACATCCTGTTCTTTCGTTGATCATCCGCAGTCGTTCGTCCTTTTTTGTATCAACAAGAACGACGGATTGCCGTGCAGTAAAAACGGCAAAATCCAATTTAAATTAGATTCATGCGAACTCATTAGATATCTGACAAAAGGCTTGCCTACCTAAATTTCTAACCGTATTGCAAAAGCTGGTAAGCCGCTGTATTTGACAGCTGTTGTTGAGATGAGAATTAATTAGTACTCTGTATATGACTAGAAACGCTCGTAGTGAGATAGGATTGCCGCAGGTAAATGTTAAAATGCAGTTGATGATGTAAGAATAGGAGAACTTGAGTTTATCTATCATGTACAAGGTGTCTTACTATTCTTGACGCGTTTTTTTTACGTACTGTTTTGATATAACATGATATTTTTGTAAAATTTTTTGAAATTAATTGAAAGAATACTACAATAGTGGTGTACTTTCTGTATGCATATAATTGTAGCGGTTGCATTGGTACCAGTTAATATAATGTGTCACTGATTGGTTCCTGCCTAGCTCTATAGTCTAGCTTGAGCAGCCTGAAATGTTAATGCTGTTAAGGGAGTTTCCACGTCGCCTATCCTCGACCGTACATGGACGGTAGGTTAGCTCACCTCCGTCGAGATTCTCTTATATACGGTAAATAACTAGCAAAATACATATGTGCGCGTATATATATACAGATTGCTCTAAAACTATTGCTTCATAATTTAATAAAGGTTTATTTAAAGTCTACGTAAAATTTTGTTTAAGTAAAGTTTGCTCTAAATTAATTGGAGAGAAAAAAACATGAATGTTATATATTTACATTACTCTACTTTTTTATTCTTAAAAATTTCTTAATTTTCTATTTCGCTTATAATTCAAACGCTATTTGATGTATTAAAACATTTTTCGCTTTATTTCCCTAATATCTGTCGTTATAATATGTATCGCTGGTTTTGAGATTCACTATATATTTCACCGTATGTTTGTTGAGGCCATCCATCTCCTTGAGATCTAAGCCAAGCATAATGGACCGGCGTAATGCTCGCGCGTGAAAGCGTATTCTATCTAAATCTCTAGTACTTTTCTGTTAGAATCTCCGAGTAGACGAATATTCTGCAGAAACCGCAAACGTAGCGACGACCGCGTTAAAGAGACACAATGCAGTTTGAAAGTACCATTTGCGACGCATTCGTATTTACGTCACTTTGAGAAATCGACCGAGAGCTTTGTAAATGAAGAGCTTACTATGTATATCCTCTCTTCTCTCTTTCAATTAACATTCTGAAAGTTCTCATCTTATAGAGAATTTCCAGGAATAATGGGACGCAGTAAGAGATTTTCAAGAATAAGAAATAAGCAAGAATAGCACGATTATCGTGCTTATCGAATTTACATGATCGTTTTGATTATATTTTCAAAAATATTCTTTAAAGAATGGAATAAAAGATTGAATGCAAGTTTGCAGTGATCAATACTAAAGAATAGAGAATTAAATTAAATTTTCAGTGCCGTAGAGCATTTTCGTCATTTGTGGATGAAGATGCGGGCAATACAACGTTTTTGTGAAGAAGAAAATTAAAATGTATGAGACACCATCTTGAAGGAAAGATCAGATATATATAGACATCTTCACTCAAGTGTTATTCCAAGAAATAGCGAGAATATGGAAGTTAAGACATTTTTTGACGTATTGTTGTTTACGGTTGATTGGATATACATCGAATCGAATTTTGCGTTGTATGTCATCGTCTGCTTGTTTAATAAAACGCGACATTTTTGCACCCGCAATAAAACTTATTACAGAATCTTCCCTCTTTTCTTTACCACCATATCTGAGCTCGTAAGATATACAAACGGACATTTCTAGAGAATTATTTTTTGTCAATTTAGTCTTTAGAAAATTCAGAAAAAATAAAGGATATATATAAGATATTTAGTACACATAGACCAGTTACACATTATAATTTTCTATATAATAAAAATGGAGAAAAAATTTTTTGTTCTGTTACCATCAATTTATTTGTTCGAAAAACAGTCCGCAAAATATATATATCGCAAAAATAATATTTTTATTTTTACTGAATAATGTGCGGATAAAAATATAATCTAGCAATTTTTGTGATAAATTTGCAGCAGGCGCAAACGAGAATATTAGTTTTTCACTACGCAAAATGCAGCGATTTGCAACGAGAAATATAAACGTTTGCAAACTCGATTTTATCCTGGTATTATGTCGCATTGTTATTTTGATGAGATGTAAAGCCGGATTACCGTTGGTGAACATTGCACTCTACATACGATATTTTACGTATATCATAAAAAAATCAATGACATATTCTACAGCAATATATGCATAGTTAATCGCTATTTCAAGAGGAGAGTAATTTAATAAATAATTAGTATATATTAAAATTATTGTTTTTGTGCATAAACTCAATTAACTATTTAAAAATTGTGTGATTTAAATCATATAAATAGAAAAAATTAAAATATTTTTAAGCAACAATAACAAGGTC